TCCTTTCAAGTTCATCGTCCTTTGTCTCTCCAGAGCGACGCCCTCGAATAACCTTCTTTTGCGCAGCACACGCATATTTTCAATCTACCGTGTGTGTATGCAATATTAATCGATTAGAAATTGCAGTAATAATGTTTACGGTTTAGTAAACAGTAAAAAATCCAATCTTTAAGAGAAAAGTTGCTCTTTTAAATACGATGCAGATTTGCTGGAAAACGGGAACCGCTTGGCAACGGCTGAAAATTGCCTCCATAAACGTAGTCCGTATTTCTTGTTTACGCGTATTCGAAATCCGAACTATCTTGGTGATTACGCACAATAACGGGAGAAACTGAACGAGAACTATCGATTCTAGGAATCGCTCCACCCCCACGAGACCGTTTGCCCCTCGTGGGAGGGTGTAGGTCCTTAACGGGTATCGCCAAAAACGCAGCTCTCGTGGCTGAAAGCTGACGGTCGCGCCTTCTCTTAGAGTACCAATTCATTTAAAATATACCAATTGATATAAATATTTTAAAAACATACAAATCGATACATCGAGATACATCGAAATGGAGAAGGAATGGACTACCAGTGCGTTGTCGTGTACACGGTGATTTCACCCTCGACTACGATCGCACCTTCGTTACGCGTCCAATTAGAGCGAGCTCTTTCTCGATCGTCAACCCCCGGATGCATCTCTTGGATCAAATATAGCGTGAAAAGGTTAATTCGCCACTGATTTTCTTACTTCTGCCTCTGTATAGGATACTCGCGACGTGCCAAGATATATCGATGTGGCACGTGTTCGATTCGTTCGATGCGTCGGGTGTGGTGTCGCGACTGAATGGCACTTTGAAAACAACTTATACCTAAATGAATACTTTTCTTTCCGATCCGACGAAGGATGCGTTAATTGACATACGAATTTTTTTCTTTGTTAACAGAGCTGTAGCTGCTTATTTACGGGCACTGAATCTCAGTCCTAACAATGCAGTTGTACATGGAAATTTGGCGTGTGTCTACTATGAACAGGGGTAAGTAATAAATTATATTATTGTTGAACGAAAGGGAATTTTGGAAAATTTATGTTTTATGTTCTATAGGCTTATCGATTTGGCGATTGATACATACCGTCGCGCCATTGAACTACAACCGAATTTCCCAGATGCCTACTGTAACTTGGCAAACGCGCTCAAGGAAAAGGGCCAAGTGGTCGAAGCTGAAGATTGCTATAATACGGCTCTTCGTCTCTGTCCGTCGCATGCCGATTCCCTTAATAATCTGGTACCTATAATGATAAATACAATTAGAACACAACAGCGTATAGTATTCGATTCGTGTTTCATTGTACCAATTAATGTTTCATTTATAGGCCAACATAAAACGCGAACAAGGATATATCGAAGAAGCAACTCGACTTTATTTGAAAGCGCTTGAAGTATTCCCTGAATTTGCTGCTGCTCACAGCAATCTTGCTTCTGTATTGCAACAACAAGGAAAGCTAAACGAAGCGCTGATGCATTACAAAGAGGCAATTCGTATTCAACCGACTTTCGCGGATGCTTACTCGAATATGGGCAATACTTTGAAAGAAATGCAAGATATACAAGGAGCTCTTCAGTGTTACACAAGAGCTATTCAGATCAATCCTGCTTTCGCCGATGCTCATTCCAATTTAGCTTCGATTCACAAAGATTCTGGAAATATCCCCGAGGCGATTCAATCGTACAGAACCGCGTTGAAGTTGAAGCCTGACTTCCCGGATGCGTATTGCAATTTGGCGCATTGCCTTCAAATCGTTTGCGATTGGACCGATTACGAAGCACGAATGAAAAAATTGGTCTCGATTGTCGCCGAACAACTGGACAAGAATAGATTACCTAGCGTACATCCACATCATTCCATGCTTTATCCGTTGTCTCACGAGTTCAGGAAAGCCATCGCCGCTAGACATGCGAATCTCTGCATCGAGAAGATCCACGTGTTGCACAAACAACCGTACAAATATCCAAGAGAAGTTGGTACTCGTTTGAGGATTGGATACGTTTCGTCAGACTTTGGGAATCATCCTACTAGTCATCTGATGCAGTCGATTCCTGGACTTCACGACAGACAGACTGTTGAGATCTTCTGTTACGCTCTAAGCGCCGATGATGGGACCACATTCAGAGCAAAAATAGCAAGAGAAGCCGAACATTTTATCGATCTATCGCAAATCCCATGCAACGGCAAAGCAGCTGATCGCATTAATGCCGATGGAGTGCATATTCTAGTAAATATGAACGGTTACACGAAGGGTGCTAGAAACGAAATATTTGCATTACGACCAGCGCCGGTTCAGGTAATGTGGCTTGGCTATCCTGGAACATCTGGAGCTAGTTTCATGGACTACTTGATTACGGATGAAGTTACATCGCCGGTAGAACTCGCTAGTCAGTACAGCGAAAAGCTTGCTTACATGCCTCACACTTACTTCATAGGAGATCACAGGTAAGTTTGGAAGAAACACCGATCACCGTTTCCTTTCTCCTCGACATAGTTTTCATTAAAATGTTTCTTTTTCCAGGCAAATGTTCCCACATCTTAAGGAACGTCTTATTCTAACGGATAAATTAAACACAAAAGGCAAAGTGGCGGATAATGTAGCTGTTATAAATGCTACCGATCTTTCACCGATGATCGAGAACACTTGCGTGAAGGAGATTCGCGAAGTAGTTGTACCCGATGCCAAAAACAAGCCTGTTGAGATCTCATTGAAAGTAGCTGAATTATCAACCACCACTGCTATCGAAACCATGATCGCATCTGGACAATGCCAAATGTCTGTGAACGGTGTTGTAGTTCAAAATGGCATGGCCACAACCCAAGTGAACAACAAAACAGCAACGGGTGAAGAAGTGCCTCAAAATATTGTGATCACGACAAGGCAACAATACGGTTTGCCAGAGGATGCAGTTGTCTACTGCAACTTCAATCAGTTGTATAAGATTGATCCGCTCACGCTTCATATGTGGGCACATGTAAGTTTACTATACCTCCTTTTTCCAGCGGATTAATCCCATTAAAATTCTAACACATTCTCGTACGTATCTGTAATGAATGTACAATTTCAGATTCTAAAACACGTGCCAAACTCTGTGCTGTGGTTGTTGCGCTTCCCAGCTGTTGGCGAGCCAAATTTACAAGCAACCGCTCAACAGTTAGGTTTAACTCCTGGTAGAATCTTGTTCAGTAACGTTGCTGCCAAAGAGGAACATGTCAGGCGAGGACAGTTAGCCGATGTGTGCCTAGATACACCGCTTTGCAATGGGCATACCACTAGTATGGACGTTTTGTGGACCGGAACTCCGGTAGTCACACTTCCAGGTGAAACGTTAGCATCCCGCGTTGCTGCTAGTCAGTTGAATACCCTGGGATGCCCTGAACTGATTGCACGAACACGACAGGAATACCAGGATATTGCTATTCGTTTAGGAACGGATAGAGAATAGTAAGTAAACTGTAGTGTCCACGGTCATTGATGGTGCCGTGTAAAAAATATAAATCATTAATCTTTCATTTGTTGCGTTTCAGTTTGAAAGCGACACGAGCCAAAGTATGGAAAGCACGATCTGAAAGTCCATTATTCAATTGTAAACTGTACGCATTGGGCATGGAGATGCTGTACAAGAAAATGTGGGAGCGTTACTCGCGAGGTGAAAAACCTGATCATGTAGCAGCTGTAGAAAAAAACGATAGAGACAAATTAATGATTACATCTTAAGAAAATGGTTTAAAAGTTTCTGTTTCTATTTAACACACGGTTTTCAGTCCGTAACGTCTGTTGTCTGCAAGCATAGTATTTCAAACAGATGGCCGGTATACAATCCATTTCACGAAAAAAACAAAAAGGTGGATACGGTGGTTCTCATATAAATTCCATTACTCCGGTATTTACTGTTTTGTACGATAAATCACCGAGCTTAGATTACGGTAGGATACATTTAACATCGTACGCGAAAGCTAAATAAAAAGCAACGCGAGGTTTGAAACAAAAATTGTGAATTGTCACGTCACACGAGTCGTATAAGAATTAACTACGTTTTCATCTCTCTTGCTTTACGTTACCTTATCTGTCCCCCGATTAATTTATATGCTGATACACAGAATGTTCTCGAACTGGTATGTAAAAGTTGACTGTGGTCTATATTTTCCTGTGAAATTGTACGTCGTAGAGGGGAAGGAGATTGAGAATGCAAGTCGTTAATGTTATTGTTATTCCTTTTTGTATTGGATGCACGAGCCAGCCGTATATATAACGGCGAAATTTGTTCCAGTAACTCGTACGGTGTGTGTGTATATATATTCGACACTGTTCTTGGTCGCGATTTTCTCCAATTTCGAAAACTTTCGACGTATGACTCGTTAACAGTGTCGAGTAGTTGACGCATTTTCTGGTTGGTCATTCTTCGTGAAATTGTACACGCTATTCGTGATTTATTTCGAATACGATTGACTCACGAAAAAAGATTAAATTGGGGGGGTGAAAGAAAGAATATAAGCGACAAAATGTTCGAGAGTAGGCTATGTTCATCAAAATATTATTGCTAGAGGCCGCTGACAGCAAAAATGCAAAAGTTGTATTATATATGATCGACTTACTGATAAACGTGTAAATATTAACAAACAATGATAATCGTTAGTTACTACTTTAGTTTGATAGCGCGTAAATTAAGATTGAAAAATGTGTGAGGTAGCGAAAAGAAAAAAAAAAAAAATAACACGTTGACTGTAGCAAACTTTAATGTACGTCTATAGAATAAAAAAAAGAAAGGTTTAAGAATTATCATTTGAAAGAATGTGGACGTTGTGTTGTGTTGTAAGAATGTTTTAATGAATATGTGATCTGTTAAGTCTAATTTCTCTTTGTGAAATTAGTCTTTTTGATATGTTAGTTCAACATAGAGAAAATACAGGTAAATTGCTTCTACAAATAGTTGCTTGAATTTCCTACATCATTTTCTGCTTTAAGATTTCTGTTTTTTTTTTTCTTCTTTTTAATGATTCTTTATAAGTTACACAGTTGCAGAGGGAAAGGTGTATTTTTCGTTGGGGAGACGAGAAATTTTAGGCATGTAGGAAAACGGTAGTTTGTAATGTCTGGTGGGTAAATTTATTATATGTATGACCTCATCCGCCCACTCTGTGTATTATCATTACACGTTTTCGATAGCGAATAATTGTCCCATTACGCACAATTTACATCGGAAATGCAGATGTAAGCATAGCTGTTAAACAACTTTTCGTTTATTTCAAAGGTACCGTCGGCAAGAAAACAAAGAATGAATTATATTAACAAGATTGTAAAAATTGCAATGAACTTCTCACTTTCTTTGCCTAATTGAATAAAGTTAAAAACAACTTCTGAATAAATTTTACCAAAGTTTAAATTGACAGATTTTCACTTATTTTATCGAAGACCTTCAATGTTTTTTATGTTTACAAGGAAACTGAATAAAAATTTCTACTTGCATGTGTTGTGATTCGGTATCTCAATGACTGAATCGTAACTGAGGAAAAAAAGTTATTTCGCATTCAAATGAACGGTAATAATCATTGGCTATAAATATTGCATGACGTGTACATAGAGAAAAGTTACCTTTTGGAGTGATTGTGCACCAAATTCCTAAGCATAATAATCAAAACTACTCGTTTACAGAAAACAACGCGACTTATTCAAATAATCATGAATCAACATATTATTGTTTTATTATGTTTGTGTTAACCAACAATGAACTATGATTCGCGAATAAATAAATAAATAAATTTAAACATCGAAAGTGTTGCTATAATATTAATTTTAATCTACCTCGTCACCTGCCGAACGTCCATAGTCCTTTCGTTTTGAAAACCATACCTCGAAGCAAAATGGCTTGCGTGTGGATAATCAAAGAGGTTCAAATTATGGATAAAAATTAGGTTAATATGTCATTAGAAAGATAAAGAGCGAAAAATGTTATTTTGTTTTAACTGCAATCGTCGCTTCTGCGCAAGCTAGAGCGATAAACGTCGTACTGATAGAGCACGCTGGCACGTCCCTTAGGCGCAGTATCGATTGCTCCATGACGGTACCACCACTATGGGAGGGTGAAATTGGGTCGAAAGCAACCTTCCCAACGGGAGTACTTACTTTCCTCTGCGTGTTCTTTTCCATCCTCTCCGTTCTTTCGCTTTGAAAGCAGTACCAAAGCTCCAACTTCAGTTATCATTAACCGCTAGCAATAGCCATCATTTAAATGCCAATTTTTAATTCGCGTTTATCAAGATTCATTTTGATATTTACCGTCGTTTTACGATTTTCCGATGTACTAACCGTAATACCATCATCCTCGCGTGGATCTTTACTTATTTTTTTACGATACTTTCATGTACATATGTATCTTTTACCATCGAAGAACTCAAATTACGACCGTATAAATATAACTTACTTTATAGGTTACGGTATTTGTTCGGACGTATTTATGTGTCGTACCTTTTCTTATAAAAGAATGAAAGATGTATTAAAAAAGTTTAATGGCTTGCTATATATGTATGTAGGTAATCCATGGATTTTGACCCAATGTTTTTGATTTATTTTCATCATTTCACCCTGGTCTTTACCTAGTTACGTCAATGAATACGTTGCTATGGTTGTTGTGCAATTAAAAAAAAAAAAACATCTCTTGGATGACATGAAATGCACTTGTTCCGTCATTTAAATCATGCGATTAATTTTTATTGGTTTACCATAGTCGACTGCTCGGTTAAAAGTATTCCGTTCTGCTTACCGATCTAAATTTCACGAAAGACTAGCCTATCTGCATAGATTCTCGTTGTTTTCTGCTACCATTGCGGAAAAAAGTACGAGGGTTCGCGTTTGATCTCATCGTTATGCTTGTCACGTGATTGCGCTAGTGGCCGCCCTCAGAATAAATGCTTCTATCTTTACGATGATATCGCATCGAGTTTAACCGTGAGCCAAAGGCCTTTTCAATTGCTTCATAATGCTATTTAAAGTCAATAAGTCATGGGACACTTATTAATTTCAGCTTTACGTTTAAACGAAGAGCGTTAAATTAGATATATTATTTAGAATCTAACATAGTGGGAAATGTCAAATTAAGTATCTCAGGTAAAATTAGAATAATATCTGAAAGAGTTGTTCGTTAGAGGGAGAACGAAATGCTCATTGTTATTTGCATCGGGGTGATTCGCGTTTAGAGCACGCGTTTCGAGCTTCGAAGCAGGGAGGGGGAGGATCCTTGACATAAATAATCAGTAGTAGAGCACCGCAGTACTGCCCCCGTAGCCATGGTAACAACATCGATCGAGGCCTACTACGAAGTCGAAAGCAGCTACCCTCTTCGCGGCACACGTTTCTTTCCATTTCTTCTCTTCGCCTTTTTTATACCATCCCCTTCCCTTCCTTCACCACTCCGTTTCATTCCACTTTCTCAATTTTTCTCTCCACACGATCTCTCCTCCCTCTAGATGCATTTTCACCAATTTCCCTCTGCTCTAGTTTCCTGCACTTTGCGCTTCTACCCATCTTATCCGCGCTGTGCTTATTAGTCTTCGAAAGTTTTCCTTACGGACAAGAGGAAAGTCAGACATTTTCGATATCGTAAGCGCTGCAGAGATTGCGTATTTCGTAACTTTTGCTAAAAGTGTCGAGCACGCGTATCCCTGATTGCATTTCGCATCTTTGCATGCTGTCCTTTTTTTTTCGTTTACGTGCGCGCGTACCGTTTGTTTCTCACCACGCACCCTGACCGCATTTCTGAATAAACAACTACCCGCTTAACAGCTTCATTATTATTACCGAAATGACTGCATTGTTCACGTTGACGCTTCTATCGAGACCGAAACGTGCTTCTTCCTGAACGCGTACAAGCATCGTTTCGTTTCCTTCGAGTTACATGAAACTGCTTTTAGACATAACGAGCCGCACCGGTGACCCTGATTGACGAAACCGTTCCCGGAAAGCCAGCGAGCCAGCGATACCGTCGCTTTTATCTATTTTTATCTGTCACTGCGCTTCTTAGAATTTTGCATACGATGCTGTGACTGCGGATTACTCTTCGCCCCACGAAGGTATAATGGTTGGTCGGGTATGGAGAAGAGGGATGATGAAAATTCATAGGGACCCATGAGATCCTGAACCAATACGTTTCTATCGCGTCGATGATATATGCATCTATTTGATACGAACCCTCGGCGATAAATTAACCAGCTGGCTATTAATCGTTGATACCGCGGACCAGATAAAACTGCCGCGAACAATAAATTGCAGATTATTTCAGGTACGCGAATGTGTTCTAGCTATCATTGCAAGGAAACTTTTTTTCTTTGCATCTCATTCTTATTGTTAGTTTCCTATTATTTTGTTTAATAAAGAGTTCGTTGTAAAAATTAATTCGTGTTAGGTTAGTAGCGAAAGACACGTTCCATTCGTCCGCGAGAAGATGGCATGGCTAAAACTTGTAGGGATCTATGCCCCACTACCCGATATCCCTACTTCGCATCGCAAGGATTTTTCGTAATTGGTCGAATCGCTCGACGAAGGAAACGAACGAACCGGTTAAGTGCGACTGGAACAGAGCGATGCGGCGACGACGACTTCAAAGCAGTGGCATAGCCTCTAGAACCTATGGGTAGCGATTAAACTAGACATTAAGAGTGGGGTCAGGCGGAGCAAACCAAGATCCCCCATTGCTTCTTTCCAATATCGCATGCCATCTTTTCGCGGACCAATATGTAGCGTGCGCATACATGTAAGTGAAATTAAGGAGAAACATCGATCGATGGAAGAGGAAAATCTTGATAAGAAGAGCATTAAACAGTAACTGTGAATTGGGGTGAACATCAGCGTATGTCTTTGACGTGGGAAGATGGGCAAAAACGATTCGATGCGAGTTGAAGCACGGAACTTGTGACGAAGCCGCCGCTCGCGGTGCGGCGGTGTTTCAAGGCTGAACCGCCTCTTCTCTACACTCTCTTCGTCTCTCTCTCTCTCTCTCTCTCTCTCTCTCTCGATCTCTTCGTCCCCGTATTCCCACTGCCACCCCCCGAAGATGAGCCATCTCTTCCTTCCTTTCTTAACCTTTTTTGAACGTCTCTTTCTTGCTTTCTCTTTGTCCCATCGTCTTCGTCCATCTCGCTCGTTTCCTTTCCTTTCCGTTCATTCCTTCTCGTTCTGGTTTATTCGTGTTGGTTGGTCGCGCCGCACCACGGCACTGTGCTATCCTATCGCATGACTCTGCAGGGTTACGCAACTACTAACAGAAGGCTAGGCGGAGAACGCAGGTTGCGGGGGCAGAGCAGAGGCTAGGAGATCGCGCATGATCGCTCTATAACAGTGGTACTCACCAAGCCGTGAGATAGCGATTCGATTTCGATAATTATAATATACTCACCGAACGTGAGTTTCGAATCTTTGTCCGACGGGACTTGTCTTCATCGAGTATTGGAGCAGACTCGGACATATTGCGCATTAGCGAATATCGGTAATTGTTCGCTATCGTTTGCGTTCCCTAGCGTATTTCATGGATATTTCCACGTGCCTCGCGACGAAACTTATATTCTAGAAGCAAGAAAATCCGAGCATGTTTATCATTTGATTCGAGGAAACCCCGATTTTTGCTCCGAAATAAGCGCGTCGATGCGTAACAGGTAATTTCCATGATGAGTACCACTGTTTGGATAGTTACATTTACAGAGGCGCGTGCTCGTATCTACTGTACACACGTACAGAATGGGTTACACGTGGTTGTGCCGCATTTACTCGAAGCCGTGCTATTAATTTATGACCACAAATCGGTAAATGTAATCGCGTGCATTCGCGATTCCAAGGTAATAGTCGCGTTACGGATATACCGCTAGACAAGGGCGCCTTCTTGCCAACGAGTTTCCCTCGTTCCACAGTCAAGCAATTTTTTCTTCTATGAATACATAAAAACGACTAGAAATTGCTGAAACCAATACAGAGTAAACTCATGAAAAGTTTCTTTCTATGAAAGAAATCAATGATCACCTCCATCCTCGATTCATCGCCTACCTCATTACGCTTATCGCGTGCATCTACTAAAGAAATACGCTCGATCCAATTCTGATCTCTATTCAAAGCATCGTACGAGGCATGTGCGAAAGGCGTACAAGCAATTTTATGAACGAACTGCCAGCTCGAATAAAAAGGAAGAGACAAGTTGAAAAAGATGACCATATAAGGCGAAAGCACGTTTTAGATATTCCACAGGTTCGCGGACTTGGTCGCACGGAACGCGCTTCTTCTTTCACCGCTTCACGCTATATTCTGCCCGCTGAAAATCTATCTAAAATCTTAACGATTGCGCGCCATATTCGTGCGGCCACTATTATTTTTAATTTAATCGCATCGGGAAACGACGCGACGTGGCGACCATTTCGTTTCATCGTGGACACGTACTCGCGTAAGTATCTGTAGGTATATGTGCACGTGGGATACGTGTTTCGAGGATTGTTTACCTGCGTGTACGATGAAGAAAGGCGAAGCATGTGTAACAGCTTTGAGAAAAGAACATAATCTCGTCGAATCGAATCTTGTTCTTACGTAAGAATTGCTTGACGGGTAAAGCACGTGTACGCCTATGCGAGTATATAATACACTATACCCAGATGGGTGTGTGCAGTCACGTCCAGGCAAAAAAATTGGACTCAAAGGTCCAGCTCGACGAGCGACCAAACTAGTACGACAGTCTCGTCGCGTTTCGTACGTTTAGACGTTGAAATTTTTTACACGTCCGAAACGTAACTTCTCTGATCATTTTATTCTTTTTCTACATATTTTTGGAGTAAAAAAGAAAAAAAACAATGATTGAATAGAAAGTAAGAGAAAATAATTCTTAGGATAATTTTAACGATGTACAGAAATATTAGAGCTGTTAACCAAGGCGAGAAAACGTCCATCAGCGTTATTTAAGAACCAGTTGAAATGGCAAGGTTTTTTTAAGAAATAAGCATTTTTAGCGAAATCGCGGCGGTAATGGGACGGTGATGAGAAATAACGATGCGACGCGCATTTAATATCAGCTAGGAAGATCGGTGAAGAACGGAAGACGGAAAACCGAAAAGTGGAATAATTACGGGGAGTAGGCAGCGAGAGTAATTCGTTCTCATCGGTGCTCGTTAAAAGAGACGGAGAGCAGCGGAGTTGCCGCTCGAAGGCCGCTGCTGCCCTCTAAAATTAACGATGATCCAACGTCGAGCGGGTAGGGCGAAAGTCCGCTTCCTCTGGAAGGGTCCGCTCGCGCGATATGCCGCTTCCGTATAGCGGTCGAACACGCTCGTTACGCGCAAATCGACGCCTCTATACACCTGTGATCGAGTTCCCGGCGATTGTCAGCTCAAACTCGTGGACAACTTTATCGACAATTCGAAATTGCATTGGAGTTTGCTAGCCCACCCTATTCATATGACTCTATAGAAACTGCGTTGATCTAGTATAATATTAATTACTTAAATTTATTCAAGTGAGAGTAATGGCGGGTTTATTCGCAAGGCTCTACCGCAGCTAAGGTTTTAATAGTGGGACGCAAAAAGCGATCAAGCATAGGGAATATAAATGTTTCCCTCATTTTCCTCAGAGGAAGTTTGCAACTAACTACAGCAGGCAGTAATTACTAGAGAGACACGCTAATGATCATTAAGATTTTTTCTGGTATTGCGACTTGAAGTCTTTGCGTTAAGAAGGGGTGGTGATCTTCGGGATTGCAACAAATGTCTTCAAACGAAATCGATTCGAAAACGGTTAAACACGAGGTACGATTGAGATCGGTATCTTGTTTACAGTTCGCTGTACGTACACAAGACAGAGCCACGTTTCCTCGTGGCGATAAGGAGACGATAAAATTCTGCGGTCGGTTCGTGGCGAGAGCGAATCGCCAGACCGGCAGACGTGGCGATTAACTTTGCGCGGAATGACCGTCGAGCCATTCGACCTAGTTCGTAAAATTGTACGCGACAGTAGGCGTACTTACCGAAATGTGGGACAGCCGTATTCATGTGCAGGAAGCGGTGCAACTATGGATACACGCGTGCAACCCATTCTAACCTCCGCAATTGCGCCTCTCAGCTCACGTTGAGGAAAAATACAGCTGCATTCTGCTTCGAATACACGGACAAGTTGTCCCCTCGAACGACGTGCTGAAAAATGTATAAGTGCATTTTAGAATCTGGCAAGATGGGGATTGCGTACAAGGTTTTTCTCCATCTTGGCAACTTTGAAAATACATTATCCACAATTCAGCTTCCTAACCCGCATATAATGATCTTTTAATTATGGGACAAAATGAGACAATTCGTTTCCTATGTCAGTCTCAAAGCATCCCCGTTTTGGGGGGTAAGTAGTAGAGTTCGCAGAGGAAAATAGGAAAAGGAAAAGCCTCTCAAGACTCAAGGAACGGCGCGACCCTAATATCCCTAGCCCCGAGGAGTTAAAGTTGATCCAGTAAATTTGCGCGTCCGTTTCATAGATGCCCTGGCCCAGTTTACAGCAGCTACGAAAGCCACTGGGCAACGAAGGGGGTTGAAGAGAGGGCGTAGATATCTGTGTCACCGCACAAGCGCCGTGACTCCACATAGAAGTACGATTCACGGTTGTGTTCTTGGCCCGCTTGCTGATCCGCCAAGCGTTCGCGAGAAATGGTGGCTCCAACCATCAAAATATCATCCATTAGTTCTGATAGCTGTGTTTTTGTCTTGTCAGTTCAGTTCCCGTCAATCGTACCTAGACATAGAATGAAAGAATGATGGGGAGAGTTCGCGACCTTGACAATAAATAATGAATCGTGCGAGCCTCGTCCCATCCTCGCAACTGATCAATAACTAAGCGTTCCTTGGATTTTTATAGCTGAATAGCATAAAATTCGATTGCACAAGGGAATTTGTATAAACTCAGCTTCGGATCGTTTGCCAATGGACACGCTCTGAGCAAGATCTTTGTTAGTTTTCTCGATGGAGCTCTGGAAATCTCTGTCCATCCGTTCATCCGCTCGACCCTGCCGCGATAACTCGCTCTCTAGTGGAGCGCTTACGTAAGAAAGACGTACCTACCTACCTATCTACCTACCTACCTACCTACCTACCTACCAACCCACCTCCTGGCTATTCAAGGGATCAAGGCAAACCGGTAGGCAGGCAAGCAGGCAGGCAGGTCGAGTGGAGCACAGACAAGCAGAGAGGAGCTAGAGGGAGAAGGAGCAGGTTTGGCTGACAGGCAAACTAGGATGCAGGTAGGTAAGTAGGTAGGTGGGCACATGTCGCGCGCGCATGCCCTCAGATAAACCTGCCAAATGGATGGACTATGCAACAACGGAAATACCGCCGCTCCTCCTCCACCACCAGCGCCCTCTGCTCTCTTCTGCCATCTTTTTTTCTTCTTCGCGACTCCTTTCCTTAAATCAAAAAACATACCGAATTAATAATTAAACTTGGAATATTTTCGAAATTTTTAGTTACATTTGATGCTTGATACTTCTGTAGAAAAATTCGAGCTCTTACCGGGAGCAGAACACATTTATCACTAAAGTCAATCCAACGAGACGAGTCAGTAAATGTATACAAATTCACGTGCTCGACGCAGACCCGACTCGCGGTATACAGACCTCGTACGAAGCGTTTGAAGAATTGAAAACAAATCTGCGCTGATCCAACGTCGAGCACGTGAATTTGTATACATTTACTAACTCGTCTCATTGAACGGACTATAGACATCTCGTGCATTCAGTTATGAGATAAAAATTGATGCACTACTATTTAGATGCTTCACGTGTTACAGCATGTGAGAAAGTATGATGTTAATCAGTGTAATACCTTAGAACTCGATTGAATAGTTTTCAAATATCATTGTTTGCTCGTTAAAGCAACGCAATTCTTTTTCTTCTTGTTCCTCGTTCTCCTCCATTCCTGCACGCGCGATAATCGCGCCGTTATAGCGAGTGTTACGTAACCCGCCTCAGATTCGAGGATAACGAGCAATCGTGTTAACGCGAAGGGTAGCGAGAAGTAATTGAAAGACAGGTGAGACGCAGCTCATAGGGGTGCTAATGAGGATGTCTTGATGTTGTTGGCCAGAATCAGTAAATTCTCTTTAGATATATGATTAAGACTTGGAGACCAAAATTTCACTACAATTCATAGGTTCAACCAATATACCCCACACTTGAAACTAGGTATATAAAGTAGATTTTATGTTGTAAAATAGAGGATGTAAAGTTTCAAATACGAAAGCCCTTAATGGATAAAATTTACTTTATCGTTTTATAAGGTGTCATCCTTATTCTTGCTTATATTTCAAACTTTGCCGCACCTAGTATCTTGATACCGCGATATGACACGCTTTGGTATTATAATCCATCCTTCGAACGTCGACGTTAGCGAAAATTCTGTCGTTCGTAGAGCAAGGGTAGAGAACTTTGTACAGTATAATGTATTCTGCATACATCAGAATACGTAAAAGCGGTAAGTTTACGAGAGCAAGAGCTTGAACGTCGAACAGTAATTAGGCCAGTGAAACGGGTCGATCGATTTTCTGCTGAAAAAGCTTGTGCTCCAAAAACCTACTTAACCAATTCACTACTGCTGTACAAGTAGGTTAGCTGGCCTCAATTCCTATTTTAATATACATACTTCTTGATTATACATTTATATCTTTGAATTACATATTTAAAGAAAAATTCCCGTTCTTTGATGATGCACATATATGTCATGCGAAGTGAACGTATTAACTTCCTGACAAAAAGAGATTTACTCGTTGAAAGATAGTTGCAGTGAATCAGTTTGCTCCTTTGTATTCTCCTCGATTATTTGTCGCGTGTCTTTGAATTCCACAACTACCGATCACGTGCTGTGTTACTCATCCCTTGGTCGTTGTACTTCCGTCAATGACGCTCTCCATATTTCTTACCTCGTTGGTAGAAAAACACGCAAATGGAAAATAATTAATAATATCAGAGGAAGATGATAAAGGGAGATTGAAAGAAGGTAGGATGACTAGTGTGGCGTCGTTGTTTAATTTCCGGGAAGAAGCGAAACGCGTGGAGGGATCAGCCCGATTCTTCTTGAAGGTGTATACCAGCGTTCGTCCTTGAGGCGCCCTTGGTACTGGCTGTGGAAGCTAAATCGGCCGATGGAAAGCTCGCTCGAGTTTGGCGAGTGTATAGGGCGTGGCCTAGCGAGCACCCGGTGACCTCCTAGCCAGCTAGGCGGCCATCTTTGAACATCGAATCGTCCGGGCGTGCTACGAGGGTGAAAGTTGGGGTGGGTTTTCGTGAAACAAGGATGGCAACTACGGCTACGCGTCGTAAAATCCCTCTCTGTGCTTCTACTGTGTGAAAGGAGACGCCCTCTCCTCCCACGCTTCTCGCAACAGTTTGTCTTTTCTTCGTTTCTTCTATCCTCCGGAAGTCTTCACTTTCGTTTCATTTCTTTCTTCTTCTTCTTCTTCTTGGCCGACTTTCTTGTTTCTTAGAATTCTTTTACATAGCATTCTTCGCAACGCGAGGCCACCAAGTGTTTGATCGATCAACTTTAACAGGTGATGTAGGGTTGCCATAACCGTCTTCATACATCGATCGTTTATTTTAGTTAAGGGTCACTTGATGGACTGGAATATTTTTCAATGTTTACGGTGAAATGAATTCTTTTTGTTTAATTTTACAGCTTAGGTCTAACCTAGACCTATGTATACGTCTATTTTAACCCTGTTACGTTGTATATTCTGGTGCAAGGTAGGCTCTCTTTGGCTTGGTCTAGAGGTAAGGGGAGGAGCCTCTTACTGCTTGTCCTCGGGCTTGGAAGGACCTATGAAGACTCTAGGGAAACTGTAGGAGTACCTAGCCTAGAACCCCCTGTCCCCACACCGGAACTCGTAACATCGTGGACGAGTTTATTTTTGTTACACGCGTTAAAGAAAAGATACGTAACTAACCAATATTGTAGCGGGCGAATAAGCTCCAATTAATCCACGAAGCTACAGGATATAAACTGCAAGGGCGTTAATAGTTGATATTGCTGTGGTTACACAACGAGATATCGGATTTCCGACGGGATAATCGTGTTCTCTTCAATCTCTTGTCTCTCGTTTCACTTTCTCTAACAGAAACATTGTAACAAAATCCTGAAAATTTATGCTTAATTAATATAAATCGATTCTACAGATAAAATAGAAATAAAAGGTAAATGTTAGAATGTAACATTCACCTTGTAATTCCATCGTCTGACAAATGATTGATGTTACGAGACTGCGACGATATTTTTCCATGAATTGTTCAATTATAATTTTCCATTTTCAACACTTTTAAGAGGATGCTTCTTTCGACCTGACGCATGATTGGCCATTATGTAATGTCAATTTTGACCTCTTCAGGGGGAATCAGTATTCCCATGCATTTTAAATTATTCTTTCTTATAAATATACCTAAATTGACGAAAAAAGCAACATTGTCCTTCAGCAGAACTTGAAAATTCGTAAAACTTCACAAAGTGGCAGTAGCCAATAGCATAGTCGAGGAATGGAGGCTTTTTATTCTGTTTGGTTGCTTCAAGGCCTGGTGGTTGCCTGGTCTGCCCCACCACTGAATTTCTCGTGCTTATATCGCATCACCGTTTCGTTCTCCCCACCTCTGCTGCGCGATTTTTCTGCGCCTAGACCTCGGCCGTTCTCTGTTTCGCCTTTCTTCCGTTCTCCGTCTCTTTTTCGCTTTGCTCTTTAGCTCCGCGAACTATGGCGATAACCATTTGGTTCCGTCTACGTTACGTTACGTTATTTTCAAACCACTTCCTAAAGATTGAACCGAACCGAACCGAACCGAGTTACACTATTTGCAAAAATACGTTGCAATGTTATCTATATCTTTTATAACGGTTTTATGATTACTACATCGCTCTTTATTCGAGGAAAGGGTTATGTAACTTCTTCCAGTAATTGGAAGACTAACATTTCAAAATGTTCACTACTTTCTGAACGACTAAGTTACTCAACGCTTTACCAATCGTCCCACTCGCGCTGCCTTGACTTGAACTTTTGTAGTATAAATTAGATATAAAAAATTGTCGTTTTATGAGTTTACGAGTAGTGTCAACTTTAAATTATGCAAAATATTATTTAACAAGTTTAAATATTAAATTTCGATATGATTTCTTGTGGAAAAGATTCAAAAAGCATCCTCAGCATATCGCTACCTATGTCTCTTCCGCTTTACCCTCGACCCTTCCCCTCTTTGCTCTTCTACGTCCCTCGCAATGATCCAAGATCTTTATGGATATCCCTTCCCTCCCACTATTCAACCGTTTCGCAATGATGTCATCCACGACATTAACGCATACGTCGATGGATTTTCAAGACACGAAAATCTAAATTTTCATCGTTTGGCAAGGTTGACGAAGACATTCGAATGACATTGAAATACGCCGGTAATGAGACGGCATCGGAAGTCGTATCCAACGGATTACATCGAAACCCAAGGAAAACGGGTCAAATCGCGAGTATCGGCATTTGAGATTACCCGATACTTGTAAAAGGGTTTAACCTCTTTTCAAAGATGCTAATCAGATTAGCAAGACACGACGGTTTTAACGAGAATGAAGGATTTTCAAATCGTTGTTCGAGCTGAAAGCGAGTTGGAAATTTGCAAATAATAAAATATTCAAGCGGCACAAGAATAGTAGCATATACTAAAAAAGAAACAAAGGTGAGAGATTGGGAAGTGAACTATTCCAGCAAAATCGATCGGAAACGCCTTTCCTTAGAGACTCAGGTATATACCAACACGTGATGAGCCATAGGGAGTGGATTCGAGGCCAACGAGTAAAATTAGACAGTGCGTGAATGGAATCCGAGCCATTCGAGCAACCCCAAATGGAAATGGAAACGCTTCGGTTACTATACGAAAGATGGCCGCAATGCGGTGGCCTTCTATAAAATGGCGCTTGCTGACCAGCGGTTGCCAGCTTTTTCACGAATATTAACTGAAACCTGTAATTATTATATTGTCTAGCCTTCATTACTCAATTGTGTGACCTTTGCCAATTAGCTAATTAAATCGTCTTAGCTTCGTTGTTACGTCTAAACAAAAACGATGTGCAAAATATTCGATTAAAAATGGTACGAGGTGCATCGATCGAGTCAGTTGTTTCATTCTGTGAAATAGAAAGATCGGTTGCAAGTCGTTTTTTGCAACGGATACAATTGGAACTTTGGAGCAGGTGTAATTTAAATGGCACAATCATGTGATGATAGTAGCCAGCGAAGCGAAAAATCATTAGAATTGAAAGAAAAAAAAGAAATCTGAGAATATTACAAGACAGCTACAAAGTATCGAGCCTACAATCTTGATACCGGTGCGTACGTACAAAGTGGCACAAGGCAAGCCAGTCCCACTTCCCTTTCCTCCTTGCATGTACGTGCGCACACAGTGTATCTCATTCCATCATCATCTCCTACCTCTTCCATTCTTCCCAAGGAGTGGTAACTTTCCAAACTTTTCAATTCTATGATTTTTCTTTTTTAAACAGTGTTCAGTCCTTTTTCCTGTTTTCTAATTATAAGTTTCAATGGTGTTTCTTTATTACGTGTACCATGAAATGAAAAGAGCTTTGTTGTTGCGTCAAATTTCGTGACTGAAATGTTATACAATGAAAGAAATGAAAAAAGTAAACAGCTTTCATTAATTTGCTAATATTTCATACACGTCCATTTACTCGCAGTGCACCGATGCTTATCTCCTCTAACACGTTAGCCGCTGCCGTAGAAATGGACGTGCGTGGTACGGCACACTTTAGTAAGAATTACGAGTACGTTAACCGTCAAAGTGAAAACGGACATCTGTAGTCAGGCATATTAAAATGTTAATTATTAAGGGTATAGTCCACCACTTGATGGTTAAGGCATAAGAAAAAAAAATATAGTTTAACGATTGCCATCTATGAAGCAATGTTTCTATGCACTTGTTACATGGAAAACGACAGCGGGTTGCTTTATTAGGAGAAAAAAAAAAAAAAAAAAAAAATGTATCCCCGTAATCACGGCAACGATCCGGTACACCGGGGTACGAGGCTGACGGTATTTGCCAAGTTACGAAAGTAAGCGGTTTTAGAAAGTATAGAAGGCTCGAGGTGAACGGCGCTCCAACAGCAATTACAAAGTGGCTTTGCAACAACGAACACGACTACCGAAGCCTCTACTCTCGGCTACTACGTAAGCGGACCCTGTGCGTTTGGCGTAGCAGGTGCACGTTTTCGTGTAATACTAGAAAAAAATAAATAAATAAATAAAAATAAAGAACTTTGATTAAAATGACGAAAGTAATCCCGTTGAGAATAAGAAGTCTACGAGTAGAAAGAAAAAAAAATGATTTCCTCCCGTTTTTAAGTAGATGAACCGCGACGTTTTATTGTGAGAATGAAATTTTCCGGTGGACAGAATTGGATGCGCACAGTAATTTACGCCCGAAACGAGCGGAAAAGTAATTTACATACGCTCGCGTTTGCGTCCGGTTGTACGCGACAAGGAAAAAATAGAATGATGATGATACTTGAAGAACGGTCAGTACTCGCGCAGTGTTTTCCATGATCCCAGAGCCTTTTCAACATGAGTACATTACAGCTGGGGGAACACGGTTTTCACTGCTGAGCCCACGGATATCTACCATTTAATTCCTTGTGCGTATAACTCGATCGTCCTTAGCGAAGAATAAGAAGGAAAATAAAAGAAGAAGAAGAAAAAAAAAGAAAAAGAGTAGAATCCTGAAAAGTGGGTCGCGCCGTTTTATCGATGTCGAGGAGAGTTGTGCCGCGGGGCCGATAGGAGAGAGAAAAAGACTGACTATCGTTGTACAGAGCCAAGCCAGTTTCTCACCCCCACTGACCTAGCGACCGAGAAAAACGTCGATCCGTGAGTGGTTGCGTCGAATAATGGACGTGGCACGAAGAGCAACGTAGAAAATGAAATATGTATTCTCTTGTCTTTTCTGCACACCAGCCGTTGCGTATCTTCCACCAACTGGTCGTAACAAACGTTAGATCACACACTGGCCCAGCGAGAGCGGAGCCACGGTTTGATCACGTGACGATAGGTTGCGTCACAGTTGCCCCTCTCACCACTCAACCAACGAACCAACGGACGGAACCGCCATCTTTTACCCACTGAGAGACCAGAGGAACACGGACACCAGCACCAACGTATGAACAACGTTTTTCATTTTTACTTTTACGCGTGCCCGAAGGGGTAAACCTTTGTGGTTACCAGATCAGCATCCACCATGTCAGTCGAATCTTCCCGCATGATTTCTTTCTTTCTTTTTATTCAAGATTTTCACGATCAACTGCTTAAGAGATATCATTCAGACCCGATTGTGCCGCGCTGGCAATAGCAATTCTCACTGTAATAGTGTGACAATAATTTTATTATAAAATTACAACATACTAAAATCGTTCAAAAAGTATTAATATAAACTCGAATATTATAGTCGTAGTAAATTGCGGGAAATTGTAATCACTCGTTTTACAAACTTCTAAGCAAATGAAAAACAAAATGCACAATGAACGATTCAAAAAACCTGTCATACCACAATCATCGAACATTTAATGGTTGGTGCTCATTTCCGGTTATGTTTGGTCTCAAAGCCACGCCACGCACGCAAATTGCGAATCGCGCGACCGCGCGCCACGGCACAGTACGGTTCAGACCGATACCCGACACGAGTGGTAACACGATGCATGGTGGTAATTGCGTATCTCTTAGGTCCAAAAATGATAAGGCAACACAGAACGACGGGCTTGATCGTAACTGAACAAAGACGTTCGAGACTGGCGAACAAGTTCTTCTCTTCCACTTCGGAAAACTAGCAGTGAGAAGACTGAAGCGTGAAACACGACCGACTCCGACGGCGAGCAGCGACGAACGAGGATGCGCTCGAGCACGTAGCCTGTGCCGCACTCTCAGTCTATCCCCACTACCAAGTATGATCGGCATCCGGTGGCAACTGTGGCGCGCATTCGCGAGGATTTCTGCTAGCTGATTGGTGCACAGCCGTTGCTACTTGGCCTACGATTGGCCGATTGCACACCAAGAATTCCCGCGGCGTTCACTATCCATGGGACTCACTACCACACACACGTATGAACCACACGAGGCCACTCTCGATCTTACACAAATGATATTCAGACGAGGACACTGCGTACCACACATCCATACGTGTGATGTACACACGTGTATGTATACTAGCTACTCGCGAGCTTTTGTGCACACCAACATCCACGTATATTTGCGTGTACGTGTGTTGGAAGATTCCACACGCCCGCGCTTCGCTACGGTCGTATGACGGACGAACAGGAACTGGCCACAACCCGCGCGGAAACGCGCTACTTATGCTGCCGGTGGGAAGAAAACCGACGAATCAAGACAGCCTTTATACCCACCGCCTTTAGACCTCGATGCTACGGGTCCAAAGGGCCATCGTGGTGGTGTTCTCGAATGCGAACACGGGGGATGGAGGTCAGCCAACCCCTCTTGCTGCTATGCGCAAAACCATGATAAATATGTAACACATATAATACGCGGATGCGGATCTATCTCTGTACCAATCGCTATATCAACGATTGTGGCAAAAATAATCAGGCTACCATTTGCTATTCGCTACTCACGTTGAAAGCGCCACCAAATCGTTGACCCATTTTTCTATCGATTATCCAGCTTTCGCAGTAGCCTCCGACCATCAAGATTCGGTTCTCCAAATATTCGAAACTTCCGCGGTGACCTCGTAACGAAGCTGAATACAATCCGTCGTCTTCTCGCACTGTTCATTTTCTCTTTGTCTTTTCAAGTCCGATTGTAAAGTGGTCGATCTCGTATAATTCGTACACCAATTTCGGAGTTTTACGCGACGATTGAACGCGCACACGGTTAACATTAACGTTACGTAATCACACGACGTTCCTGGAAACCGTTCCTATCGTTTTCATTCTCATCGTGAATATTCTCTTCAATAGGATCGAGGATCGGGAAATCGATGACGTTCATTTATCGATACAACAATGAAACAAAACAAAAAAGATAATGGTAGCGCGTTACACGACACGCGTAAAAACGTGGGAGAAGTGAATAAAAAATGGATATTCTTAACCGACGTTTCGAGATGAAATAAAGAAAAGATGAAGAAAAATGGTGGAATTGAAACGTTCGTTGCGATCGAAGTATTAAAACGTGAAAGAACGGTGCTGCGTGTATAGCGGTTAGTCGATTAACGAAGCTGGCGTATTGGGAAGGGAAGGGGGTGGCTTGGTGGAACATTGGAACTCGACTTGGACGTCCTATTTCTACGTTCGGAAAGGTTCGTGTGGCGAGCCGATCGCGCACGAAGCAACGGGGATATAAGTAGGTCGTTTCGAGCCGCACGTGTCGTCCTTGACTCACATAGCGTGGCGCGCAGGCGCTCACCGTTGCCGCATTGCTGGTCGCTAGGGCTTTTTCTTTGTTCCTCTTCGCGTGTGTGCGCCCGTAATGTTCCGCGCACACGTTCCCTTATGAGCACAGCACACGAGTATGTATGTGTATACACGTGTGCACGGTTGTGCGCGCACGCACCTATCCGGCACTCTGCAAAATGAGCTAGCTGCCGCCGCGCCGTAATCTATCTATCGCGTCTAATGTGCTGTACATGATCGAGTATGTCTCCGTCTACGTCTCCGTGTATTTATCCGTGCGAATCGACCGTTTCCTGTTTGCGCCATTTTCTCGATTTGTGAAACTTATTCGTAAGAAGAAAAAACGCTTAACCATGAGTATCAATAAATGTTACGCAGCTATAGTAATTTCTTGTACCGATATACCTGCACGATTTCGAGCAAACAGTTAATATAATTAGACGTTTTCGTTATGGACGGACGCGATCCGAGGGGGTCGAGACACGAAGAAGGCACGTTGTGCAACGCTCAAGGAGAGTGAGCAGTGAGCAACACGCGTGTCGTGCGTTCCTGCGTGCTCACGGACGCATATGCGCACGCTCGATGATAATCGACAGAAAGAGAAAGGTCATCGGGGGGGGAACGAAGTTTCGCTTCCTCTTCCTTGTTGCGATTACACGAGTAGGTAAGCGGGTACCGAAATTGCGGATAGTGTGACGCAACGTGCAGCTGTACGTAGGTACGTGCATATATGAATATATGTAGGAACGGACTCGTACACTGACAGACATGCGCATACATGCATTCGTGCATACATGCGTGTATTTAGATAAAGTATTGGATACGCCTGCGGAAACACGGCAGTGCACGACATACAGAATTCGCGCGTTTATTCGTAACCGTGAGTCGCCATCCATTACAGGGCTTGAAACGGTACACTGAAGAATTTTAATTCGACAATTTGTAATTTTTCTCATTTCCGTCAGTTGTTTATGGCACGTTAATTTGAACTACATATGCAGCGACTCTAGCGAGTTCTGTCGGATCGACAGAATAGCAGACTTCTTTTGATATGCATCCAAGGACAGTTATGTTTCACGAAGACCTGTGCGAAGTCGGTAGTTGGCTTTGGCATCGTGAGTATTGATCGCAACGGGAATTCAAAGGGGAGGCCACCACGTTAGGCTACTCGAACCCCAATTGGATCGACCTACCTCGTAGCAGTAGGCAACTGAAGGGGGGCTCTGCCGCGGCCTATTTCTTAGAGTATCGAGGTTCCCTAACCAAAACGTTCATTTTTTAATTTACTTTATATCCTAGACAAATATGAGCTCCTGCATGAATAAACCAAGGCACTTTTAGACCGGCTTAGTATTTTTGGCGTAGCCGGTTCGAACGGGATGCTACGTTTCAGAGAAACGAAATGGAGGACTTCAGCAGGAGACCGATGTGCTGTTAGTTGGGAAGACCTTGAGCGTTAATTACTCTCAGACGAGAACGACGCGATGTACTAAGTTTTTTCGCAAAATGGCCGTACTTATATAATCTTTGGCAATGCTTTTGGCGTTGCGATTGTAGGAACGATTGCTGCTGGCAAGATGTGGGACTAATTTACACGAATTTCATTGTTTCCATTCTGCTCGATCAACGTCGTGCAACACGCTGTCGTGCAACGCGATCGTTGCATAACGCCATCTTTTTAATGACCATACGACGTCTCCGTAATGAAGTAGTCACGCCAAGGTAAATGCAACGAGGAAAAAGAAAAAAAAAAGTATTACAGATTATTCCGAGTTTATACGTACACCGTACGAATAAATTTTACATGCAGCTGTCTGCACGTGGAACATACAGGGTGTCCCATTTAATTGGAATATATCATCGGGAATATCTTGGAAATTGTAATAATTCGATGAAGAATATCCGATAAGAATATGTGAAAGAAATAAACGTTGCTAACGACAGCCAATAAACTGACGGTGTCACGTTGTGGCACATCGTTTTGATTTAACGCGCATACTTTTGTGTCGTCCGAGAAGGTTCGCATGCTAGAGTTCCACAGATAAGCACGTTCTTATCAGCGTATGTACTTACGTAAGCAACGAATCGTGTAAGTAAGTCTTTACTCGGCTTCGCACTCTTTTTCCTCTTCCGTCCTCTCACGGTGTAACCCACTCTTTCATCGTCGTTCTTTTTCACCTTTCTTTTTTCCTGGCTTACACTTTTCACCTTCATTTTTCCTTTACCTTACTCATTTCTTTCGCGTGCGTTAGTTTCTTTCAGAATCGTATTTCATCTAAAGATAATGCTTTCTCTCCTGTTAACAATTCTTTTGCTTTTATCCCAACTTTCATTTTTGCTATTTTTAATCATTTTTTTCTTAGTTTATCGCCTTTCTTTACCCTTTCAACTTGATTATAAATTGTCGCCATGACTTTGCATTGTGACACGTGCAAAAAGTAGTGCAGCATCTTGCAGCGCCATCTATTTAGAGCTTTGGGCACAAGCAGGGCGGGGCTGTGAATGGTTCAGGGTTAAGAATGGATATTTTAGCTGTTTCTCAAAATCTTTAGAGTGACCCTAATATTGGGTTATTAACTGCTTAAATATTAGCCAACACTGATCTCATTTTACGTTGAAAAGTGCCATCGCGTTGGCTCGGTACGTAGTGAACTTGGTTCCTACTGTAACGTATCGTTAACGTTAACACTGCTAAACACAAGTATTTTAACATTAATATTAATATCATACGAAAACAAGTATTGATCGGTGAAGGGTAAATATTCTGTAATAATTAAACTTCAGGCTGGGTAGCAGAAGTTTGGGCGCATCGTGGATGACAGACAGTCACGTGGACATGGCGCGTGCCGGAAGCTGTCAAAAGATACGAGAGAAGTCTGATCTTGTTAAAATGGTAAACTATATTATCTCTGGTGGATGATGTCTTGCAATTTACGTGTTGTTATAAAGCACAGCAACGATAAGGGAAATGCAAAACGCGCTTAGTTTCGAAGATACGGGTGAAAGAAAAAAAAAATATGGATACGATTACAGAAGAATGCTTCCTTTTATACAGTCACGGTCATACTCACTTTTTGAATCGTGTAAGCGCAACAGTTATCTCTGACAACGTTTTATCATAAACTATGACACGTGATTGGATACTTTTTTGTCGATCGGCTGACACATCCCTTATTAGTAAATTCAAGCGCGAAGAAAAATTTGTACGCGAGGGTGTAGATGGTTGCGTACATCGTGCCGCTGAGTAACGACACTGTTATCGAACGTGACATTTCACGATTGACCCGTTCTAATTACAATATTCTTACGCGTTAAGTGGTGCGGTGGCAGAAGGCAAAGATCGGTTAGCGGACAGTTATGCATGAACGGTGACCTCTTCGTTATCGGTAGATCGAAAACAACGAATCACAGTCAAAGCAGAGGTTGCAAACCTAGTGGACGGAGCGTTTCCAGGGATTTATCGCTGAAACGATGCTTTCGAGGAAGCCAGAGTAAATCGACGAATGCACCTTGGGATTCTTGTTACTTGGTTCGTGTTCCTTTGTTACACAACCGGCTCTCTCGGCAACTCGGCCAACTATCGACCCCACCAACTAACTTTGTTCTCACTCTGTCCCCTTCCTTTTTTTTCTTCCCTCTTCTTCCTCTTTCTCTCTCTTAAGCTCCCCTTCAGAGTCTCTTTTATTTCCAACCCCATCTTTCTGTTCCTTCCTTTCTCTTTTGACAAACTCCGTCCTCCGCTCTTTTCTGTTGCCTGTCCTTTCTCTCCGAGCCTATACCCCTGTGTGTCACCTACTCGCTCCGCCAGAGTCGGCCGTTTATTGAAAAAAAAATTCTCCTACAGAATGGAATCTTCATATTTCTCCACTTGCTTAGCCTGTGCAATTAAAAAGCCGACCGAAAGAAAAATTCATTTTCCATTGAAATTGTAAGAAAACGATCGACCTCCGCCTCCAATTTATACCTATTCTAAGTCTAGACACGTAATTGCGATAATTAAGATAGTCGAAGTAACCTTGGATGACCTTGACAACTTATAGTTAGAAGTTAGAATAGTTATTAGAAGGTGCCTTAATGGGGGACTTGGTTTGGGTTTCGGGTTAAATCCCTAACTCGCAATCAGGCACGATGCACGATTCCGTGTGAAATACTTAAGGAGGAAGACTTCGATTATTAAATTATTCGAGTGGTTGTTATCTTGGTTCGGCGTTTAAGTGTTCGTTGGACAGCGTGACATGAAATACGACATTTTTGTCTCTTGTTGCGCCACTGTGATGATAAGTGGAAGATTCCGAACGTAGGGATGGGGATCCATTTATCTTTGTACTCCACCGAGCACAACGTAATTTGTACTGGTGTGCAGTAGGCATAGAGATTGCGAGGGCTTCGAAAAATCGCGATTCTAACGATGGAAATTGTGGAGCATGTGGAGTAACCTAACTTAGCGCAATTCCAGGAAATCAAGACCTCCCTTCACAGCTACTTCCTGAAGTTCCATCTATTTCGCTAGACGGACTGTTTCGGCTCCCTTTTCGCGGATCCCCTCTGCATCTTCCGCATCCCTAACTTAACTACCCCTCCCTTTCTAGCGGAGAAGCTTCTTGCTACCCATTCTTCTCGACGAAATTTTCTTCGTCTTCGTTCAACTAGTCTCTCCCTCTACCCTTGTTCTTTTCTACCCCTCGTTGAATCTACGTCCCCCTTTCTTTGCTTTTTTTTTTTTTTTTCTTCCGTGAATGTCTGACGGACCCAAGGGACACGTAGTGGGGGGCCACGTGCTCCCAGTACCTAGTCACGCGAGGGTAGGATACGTGGTATATATGTATGGATGTACCAATGTATGTACAGCAGATTCGTTCGAATGCATAGGCGTGGAAACGTGTTTTCTATTGAAAGTGCGCTCGCGAGAACAGTGTCCAGTTTACGCGGAGATCTTTCGCGGAAGTTAAGGGACTTTTCTATCATGGCGGAAGGAATAAAGAGGTATGACTTTCGGGAAGGTCCAATCTTTTGATATGGTAAGCAATTTTTTTCAAACTCTCAGAACAGTTTCATTGAAACTTTAGCCAGCCCTGGACAATATGTTCTCGAAAAATGTGTCACCTTTTATCTTATCATCCGGAACACGTGTATAAGTATGAAAGTAACTTCTATGCTTCTATTGGAGCAGAACGATAGATTTACACGTGCGTCAGTTACAGAGCGAATGCTGTTTTCTGAATTCATTCCTTGTTCTACTTCGAGACAGTGTATGAATTTTTTTTTTATTAGGAAAAAATAATCGTCATTGCTACGAGTATACTGGCAAGTGTATGCGAACGAATGCTGTTGATAGCCGCGGTGGGTGTTACAGAAAACAGAAGTAACAAGGTTGATAGGAGTTGCAGGCGTTCAATAGTTAATCGAGAGGTTGGTTGTGGAGTAATAGTAGCTGGTTGGCCAGCTGCACTTGACTCTCCTATGCAAGATAAATAGGTGCGGCTGTTTCCTATTAATAGCGGTTGCTTTACGCGGGGATTCCACTGTTCTAGCTCGTTGTCTGTTAACTTGCCAGCCTGTTCACGTTCCGCTTAGAAAATTTGATGTGTTGTAAAATACCTTCAATTATGTAACGATACCTGTCCAAACCAACCGAACCACGAGAACTTGAATTTACCTATTGTCCAGCCATTGGACAATGGATTACAATATTGTGAAAAACTAATGGGTTTATGGTAGCTGTTTCGAGACTATAATTTACGACGATGGAGGTGAACTGGAGGACCTACGAAAGCTTGCTAGTTGATTGCTATGGAGGTCACCGATGACCGAAGAAGAATTCATTTTCCATATCTCTGGTAATCCCTGTTGTAAAGTGTTCTACTAGATATGGATGTTTCTACTGTGATGGTCAATTAGAAAAAAATAGGTTCTGAAGCATATTATCAAATGAAGGTACCATGATAAATCTTTAATCGACGGGTTTATTTGGTAGATGTGTTCTACTAGATTTAACTAGAGAGACACGATGAATAGTAGTAGTAGTAGTGGTAGTAGTAATAGTAGTAGTAGTAGTAGTAGGAGTAGAAAGGTGGGGATCAAACAAAATCCGGTATAGGCGGGCAACGACCTTTAGGCACGTGGCACGGGACACGTGCTGCATTCGACAAACTGTCGAACGGCCTTTTGCCTCTTCTTTTTATCTCCTTTCTTTCGCTTCTGTTTTCACCTCGTTTCGCTTCAAATTTTCGGCCCGTGCTATCTCGGTCTCACCGCGATTTCCTCCTATCGACTGGGGTACCGTTAACACTTTGGCTACCAACAGAGAAAATGACTACGCGTGGCACAGTACATTTCATTAGGAATTATTAGGAATCTAGTGATACGATGATATGATACGAAACAAAACCTCTTTGGGCATTCGTGGCCACGTGAGTGTGAAATAAGAGATGTTCACTCCCAGTTGAATCTTGTAAATGCAATTAGAGCCTTAATTATCTCAGTTGATTAACGCGTTCACTACCATGGGAGGTGACCAGTAGCACTGGCCAGCTACTTATAAAAAGCAATAAAATCACTGCATATATTTTCGTTTGATAACTAAACATACGTAGCAAATATCGAACGATTAAGCTAGTTTTCACGTTCCACACTGTTATCTTCTATTTGTTCGTTGATTATATGGGCGTCGCGTGGAAGATAATAGTTCACTTTCTGATGTCGTGATACAATAAAGGGAACAAATAATCATAAATATTATACAATTTTTGCGCGATAAAGAAACGGATCCGACATCAATCAGGAAAATTTTAAGAAGTTTGTCTTCTCTATTGAAATAGCAAAATATCCTAGATATGTACATCCCCTTACCTTGATTTCATCCCCTTGACCTTTCGAAGATGCGTTCATTCTAGGGATTTCTATGGTACCCATTGGTATGTCTTTCAATTTTAAGCGACACCAATATTCAGTACTACATGCATTTGCAATGTCTATAAATAATACTCGAGGACAGTAGTCACTCATGACAGGAGACACTTAGAAAGTCCATGCTTTTTATCCATGGTTAACTATATGTTGCTTGCTTCAGACTATGATTCGAACGGGTTAAAGTGTCTAGTACTCCGAAAGGATTAAAACATACTTATCAACTTGTGTAGCAGTGCACCCTCTTCTCTGTCCCTTTCTTATCGTACCGCTCGGTCACGCTAATTTTCATTCCAATTATTTTCAGCTAGCTAACTCGATGGATCAGCATTGGACGCGAAACAATAGGCGCGGACGGGTGACATAAGATGAGCAGCTCGACAAAATAGTTGGTCTCCGTCGGTGGCCTCGCTCTAGAATCGCTCTAGATCGCCATCTAGGGTGAGGAGGGCGCGAGGAGAAGGTGAAAGAGGAGGACAGAGCAGGGCAGGGCAAAGAGGGGCTGAGGTCAGCAGTACAACGCTGCTAGCTGCTGTACCAGCTCAATACCAGCTCTGACCCATTTGGCAATGTTCCCGAGTTCGGGCCACGGGATTTCCCCGTATGAGATCACCGTTTTTATTTTTCCAACTTTTTTTTTTTTCTTTTCCCCTCTATCTTACTGCCGCATCCATATTTCCCATAATTCATGCACCATGGGAGAGGTTCGTGGGAAAATAATCGGCGCCACTGCCGTTCTACCATTCAACTAGGCATCTTTCGAAATACGAGGAGATTTTTCTTTCCTGAACGACACTTGAAAACTGACCTAGATTGTATTGGCACGATTAAAACGAAGAAACGAGCGTGAATAAACGAGGGTGTACAAGATGGACAATTAAGCTTACACTCTGCAATAATTGTTTGATTTAACCGAGATATACTGCTAAGACTCTTACAGTATGTGTGGATATCGTTGATGTATATTTGCTTTTAATCCTTTAACACAACCATCTATTACTGCTTTTCTGTCGAAAAGTTTTCATCCCCTTTTGCAAGAAGCAAAACTAACTCTAATAGATGTTAAGCCGAATGAGCCAGCATCCGCCGTACAAGGGGTAATCGAAATGTGGGTCAATCGTTCGCATGGAAAATTTAACGAAAAAGACAGATAACGTTTGTTCGGTGATTTTCTTTGCCGCTCCTTTCGTGACCTCAGACCGAAACTAGACCACGCGAAGCTTTTGGTAAATGTGTCAAACACCCGGTGTGGGATCAATACTTGCGCCCTGGTTTCTCCTCTCCTTCCTTCGCCCCACTCTTTTCACCCTTACCCTCGATATACCTACGCTCATACGCCCCTTCGATCTCTCTTCGCTCTTCACCACCTTTTGCAACCCTCTACCTTCTCTTGTCAAGCTTGTTACATACCGTTTCGTCTCACTTCTCTGCCGGATCATAGTTCCCGAGACGTCTCTTTAACTGCTGACACTGTCGTCAAGGCGAAATTAGTCGGTAGGGTTAATCGAAGGAATCGATATCGATATTTGATCAGTCAGCTTCATTAGACCAGTTTATCGTAGAATGTATTTCTTCTTCATAAAATAACCCTAAATTACATTTGGTTGGCCAATTTTCTTTCCATCCATCAAAAATCGTTCTTCCGGCAATGTTTTCATCCATCGTCAGGGCTTCTGCCTAGTTTTGTTTGGGAAAATAACAATTTATTGTTATTCGTACCCTCAGGTTCCAGCTCTTCCCGCTGTTTTCAATCGAGTATCCCCCGATACTCGATCCTCTCCACCCCTGGTGCCACCTGCCTCCTGGAAGGGGACAAATAGCGCAGGGTGGCGGTTCAATAGAAAGACGAAGAGGCAAAGGGAGCAACATTTCAATGGGGTAAAAGGGAATCGAGCTCTGGATTCACCCCAACCGAGCGCGCATGCTTCTGAGCGAAATTCTGTTCGCACACTGCCTCTGCAGCGACCCTCTATCACGCCATTGTGCCCTATTCTTTTTATAGACCCTTTCAAAATTGCGTTCCTACGCATGATTTTGTATAGTACAGTTTCTATAAGCCTACAGTCTACTATGTCTCTACTATAGAACACTGTTTCTTCTGAAACATTTTATAGAGTTCCGAATAGAGGAAGGAGCCTCCCACTATTTGCTTTTGTTTAGGAAGAGTCTAAGCTAGAACCTCTCGTCTCTGTCAATGTAAGTGATAAAGATTAATTTCTACGTGCATTTCTTTTGAACCGACCTGTAGATAGGGATCGTTACCCAAGGTACGCTCGTGGCTGCGGCTAAAAATTTTAATGAACCGTGCAATAAAACGTGAAGTACAGGTAGGGGATATTCAGCTTTAATTAAATGTCTGATGCCTCTGGGGAAAAAACCAAAACGTTTTGCATTTTTAACTATAACTCTGCAAAGCATCACGAATTGATTAAAAAAAATTACAGTTAAAAAACACGAGAATTTTAGCTATGTTGCTGGTTCGATTGGAGTTTTGTTGAATTATGTAATCTTGATGAACTAGTATGTTTGGAATTTTTCTATTTTTGAAGAAAATATATTCTCGAGACCCCATTCCAAAATGGATTTTCTTGTTCGGCATTGCTTCGATCTTGACATTTCGTTCGTTTCGCAATCGATATACATAACGTTATTTCCTCGTGTCGCTTTTCAGGTGATCGTAACCTGACATTTCAGACATCGTCGCGTGGCTTTGAGTTCCGGTTCGATGAAAAAAGCAACGAACTGCAAAGTCAACAAGTTTTTCTGCATGGAATCGATAACGAAAGCCGATAATTGGGCATCGAAATGCAGACGTCAACCTGATGTGACATCTACATTTCGTAAGTGGTTCAACACACTAGCGTTGGTAAGAAAAGTCCGATTACCACACTGGTGTAAACGACTGGACAAGTAATGGAAAGAATACTAAAGATAGTTGGTTGGCAGAGTAGAATGTGTTAGCACAACCTAACTCTAAAGGCCTAGCGCTAATATCCTTTACCATTTACTCTGTCATAAAATAGTTATTGCGGCTATTCTGGTGAGTTTCTTTTTTCTTTAGAAGAAAAGTTTGAAAAATGCTGCTCCTGCTTTTCGGGAAGCCAGTGGAAATGTAATTCCTGATTGGATATGCGGTGCATCCTACATCGATCGAGGTTGCAGTTCGTAAACTAACCGGCGCACCGGGTTCCAGGTCACTAGGTCAGCCCTTCCATCGATCCAACCCCACTATTGAAAATTCACTCACTTCGAGTGTGCTCCTCAACTGATCCTATATTCGGTTAGATATCATCGCGTCATCACACCCACCACACCTTCTTTTTCTTCTTTTTCTTCTGCTTCTACATTTGCCGAGTTGTTACTAATTATTTACGAGTCGCTCACCCTCACTGGTGTTTAAATTGACTTGGTTATTTGCATTCTTCTCCCACGAACGTTACTTTGTTTTTAAGAAAAAATCACAAGCAAGAACAAAGCTTAGAAGCAATAAAAAGGTTTTGGAATATTGACCATTATCTGTTCGTTTTAATACTCGAGATATGGATATTTGTAATCTCGATAAAATTGGATAAAAAGGTTGTTATTTTATTCTTAATACCCTAAGTGATTGAGATATAATATGTGTTTGATAATGTCGAAGAAATAATCCTTATCCATTTATCGTGGACACATATTGTAAACTTGTATCTGGTAACAAATTAAATTCCAAATCTTAGCAGAATAAACGCGTGAAAGTCCTCATCAGCGATTAAGAAACGAGTTAAGTATGAAGAAGAAAAGGTAGTGGAAAAGAGGTAGATCTAGTAAGATTGAAAGTAGCCTCCATAAATCGAACATTGACCCTTTTTGGAATTCTTCCGTTCGCCGGGAAAAGTGGACGGACGAGCGTGAAGCGCACCGATCATCGAGCAGTGTCGTCAAGTCAGAAAACGTATACAACGGTGTGTGTAATTACACGCGTAATGCCAAGGTATGAAACCGCGTTACATTCCGAGTTTCCCAACCGATCACCCAAACCAAACGGAGTTTCTGGCACACGAGCAGGATACACAAAGTGTCCCAATATTCGTGCCGCTTTCCTTCGAAAAAATATGAGATTTATTCCATAAGTTTTTGAGACTTAGAGAGGGGGAGGCAGAGTAAAAACTGTCCGTATGCGGTCTATACGATCATGTACGCCCACAGGTGGCCTCGACTACTGAGCATACAGACAGGTCTTACTGTATTTTACCAAGGTACGAACGTGTCTCGTTTAGAAACACGACTGCGCAATAGTCCAAGCACCGTTGGATAAATGTTTCACGGGGCCTGGGTTATGGTTGACCCGGCTCTACTCTTCAAGGGTTCAAATTCGAACGTGACTAAACTACTCGAGAAGCTGGTAGCAAGAAGAGTGGAGAGCACAGCTCTCAGGTAGAGCCGAGAACAGCCGGGAAAGTCGATGGAGGTGAAACTGGACTGGACACAAGCGGAAGATGAAAGTTGAAAGAGAGAAGAGAAAGAGGAAGAGGAAAAGGTACTGTTGGAGCCGCGGAGCGAAAGCGAATAGAGAGCAGAGTATGGAGTAATGCTGACTGTTGGTCGGTTTGCCGAGGGAGGGCTGTATCGGTGCTCTAGCGGCGCTAGAGCATTTCGTAGCCACGACTCGGTTCGAACGGCTAGGCAAAAGGGGGCTAGAGAGGAGAACGGGGTCGACGACCCTTGCACGTGGAGTGCTGGAAAGTAGGCCACGCCGTGACATCACGCAGAAGCAAGATGGCAGCCGGGAAACGGGCACATTCTCACAAGTATGCTCGGCATACGACTCGACGGAGACGTGGCGACGCCCGTGCAATCGAATCTTTTCCTTGAGCGAGGGTGCGTTCCGATATTCATCATCGTCTCTTTCCACGACCTTCTCCTTTACTATCCCCACCAATACTCTTTCGCCTTCTCCGCCTCTCGCTTACTCTTCTTTACTGACTTCTCGTTGTTTCTCAAGCTCGACGAATACGCCGCGATGCGTGCTAACATTCGCGCTTGAATATCGTGCAACGCGTAGTTTCGATGCAGCTGCCAACGCAGTTGGTCACCAACGTTTCCCAACTCCGCGTGCATCGAATGATTATACTCATTGGAAATTTCCGCGTGCTGTTCGAGAAAGTTATCTTCAGCGTTGACTCGCGATTCAGAAACAATAAATATCTGTAATATCGGATAGCTTTCATAAACTTTGATCCAACGATTGTACCATGTTTCGAGTAACGAGTAGATGGCAGGGATTTCGTTGGAATTGCTGGCGGGGAATATATCAAGCACCATTACATAGTCTGTATCGGGCGAGTTGAGTAATCAACATTTACGCGAACGCGCGGTGCATTCGGTGCGTAATTGCTTCACGATTAAGCGTTATACAATCGCAAGGGAACAAAAGCGTTATTACTGGCAATCATAAACGTGATTGTACGATGTTAGAACGAACCAATTCTGCAAATCGTTCAACGGATTTGGAAACGACGCGGTAGACGAATCTGCGCATGCGTGGGCGCTAGCACACTGGATGCGCGCGCATCCACGGTTGCAGCCTGCGCATTGCGTTCTTTATTCGGAACGCGCGAGCGCGTGAACGTGAGCACGCATACGACACCGTTGAATATTGGACGAAAGTCAAATTCATCTTGCATTATTTTAGCGTCCGTGGCAAGCCGATGTATTACAGAAATACGCGCTCACACGCGTGGCGTTCATTTGAGAGAGAAGGAGAGGAAAAGTATACGTATGGCTACGTGTGTGAGAGAGAACTCACGCGATTTCTGTTTGCATTTTAATTGCGATGATGTAAGCTCATTTGGATGCTCGTACGAAAGTTTCCTTGCATGAGTAAAGCATTCGCCTACTTCGTTTTTTGAATTGGAAATTTCGGACGAATTGCGGTCAAGCAAATGTACATATATGAAATTCTATTCGAGTACTATTGATTCGCGTAGTATGTAGTAAGTGTCGTTATCGTTAACACAATACGTTATTATGATCAAGAATTGTAAAGTATTACAATGTTCGTTAGTAACATTTTGATACCGATACAGATTATTCTAGAGACAAAACGATTAAAAATCTTCGAAGCAACGGAGGTTAGCAATTGTTAGCTATAAAGTACAAAGTCTAACGTAAACTATTTGCAGTGTAATTACTATGATGTAATGTGCGGATTTTATCGAGAAGTTTTTATTTTATACGCGATAATTGAAATGCTGTGTGTACTGCAGAATCTTCGGAAATTTTATTTATATCTTCAACTAAAACTTTTATATCTATTAGAATATTATGACGTCACATTGAAAGAAAAGTATTACTATGTTTTTCAAAGAATCACCCGGGTTAATCATAACTTGTATATGCATTAATCCTAAGCAAACGGAAGTGACGTCATAGCAGCCATACGATCGAATTTATTCCATACGCCTTACAAGTATGATGTGTAAGACGTGATATGATCAACTAAAACGTATACGTATACTTACATTTCTCAGAAGACTGTGGACTATTGCACTGGAATTGAGTACACACTTTTCAGTAAACGAAAGAACGAGATGTTAATTAAAATTCACAGCAACTTTGCTAACTAAGCCGCGAAACATCTAAACGTCGCGAATAGACTAATACACTACGTGGTGTCGCTTCGAAAACCGTTTCCTATACTACTGGTGCCATCTAGCGTTCGTAATAAGTTTAAAAAAAATCGCAGTAAACTAAATTTAATTATACAATCATAAAATTGGATAATCTTGCAGTATTTTGTTTACAATAGTCTTGTCTAAATATGTAATTAACAAATATAACTCAATTATTGCAATATTTACATTGATAGCTAACATAAGGTGTAACTAGAGACATCTCACAGAACTCTGAATATGTATGTATGAACCCAATGATAAGAATGACGCTTTCAGTATCTAATGTTAATAAATTTTCAAATAAATAATAACAATTTAAAATACGAAGTTCATTCTAAGTATTTTATATACATGTAGAAAAGGGATGTTCATTTTTAAACAAACGAAAATAATATCTACGAATAGTAACTTGCTATTTAAGAATAATTGAATATGCAATCAAAATTAGGATGAGTTAAAAATTTGTCATTGGAATAAATGATATAGAAAATTTGTAATTTGCATTTTAATCACGTGGGTAATAAAAAAAATAAATATACACGTGTTCCTTAGATGGTATTAATTACGCATGCGTACAAATTCATTTACAAGAGAGACATCTTTCTGTTTCATAAAACTTTACCGACTTGGCAAAGATACTAGCTGTAGTGACGTCGTCGCCATTTTGTAGTGGTGTTTGGGACGTGAAAATGCTGTTTGTTTCGGTGTTTTTTTAGAACTGAGAATTTAAGGGTCACATTCAACTGATACCTTAAAAAATGACGCAGTTTCTGCCACCGAATCTGTTAGCACTTTTCGCTCCGCGGGATCCTATACCATATTTACCACCCGTTAGCAAACTCCCACATGAGAAGAAGAATGGAGGCTATATTGGCGTTGGAGGTTTTCTTAAATATTTCGAGGTAATGTAAACGTAAACGTAATGTTTACTCCATGCAAATATTATTCAAATTTATATTCCAGTAATGAATGCAGAAGGTTTTAGGGTTAAACGTTTTCGTTTTTAAATTAAATGTAAGGGTTAATTTGTTAGAAAAATGTAAATATATTTTTCGCAGGATCCCAAAGATACACCTCCACCGGTGCGTGTAGAGACTAGAGAAGAACGTCTAGAACGTAGAAGAAGAGAACGCGCAGAACAAGTTGCATATAAATTAGAACAGGAAATTGCAGTATGGGATCCTGCTGGCATTCCAAATGTAACAGCAGATCCCTTTAAGACCCTTTTTGTAGCACGAATTGTAAGTATTGTTTATGTCTAACAATGTAAGGTTATACGCGAGTATTGTGTGAATTGTATTAATGATAATGCTTTTTCATTTAGAATTATGACACTTCAGAGTCCAAACTTAGGAGGGAATTTGAGGTTTACGGTCCAGTTAAAAAGGTAACCAGCTGAAAGTATAAATATTATTTTAGAATTTTATGGAATTATAATGATATGTTTTGACCTTTCAGATAGTGGTAATTCACAATACTATAAATGGCAAGCCTAGGGGATATGCTTTCATTGAGTATGAGCACGAAAGAGATATGCACTGTAAGTAAGACCCAGAAAATGTAATCCCTTCTTGAGAACCTCAGTGAGTCCATAGTCTGGAGTTTCACCTTACTTAGCGTCACTTCCAGCTAGATATAGTGGGGCAGGGCTATAGTTAGGCTACCCATTTTCATTGGTACTAAACCAGACGGTATGGGGGGTCCCGCCATACATCCATGCAGGATTACCATTCTGTAAATGCATATATGGTAAACGAATCAACTGAAAAAAGAAATATTGGCTGTCTTGATTAATGCAGTTTTTATCTTGTTCTTGGTACAGCGTGGTGGCCGCTGCCGGCAACTAGTGCCGTTCACTATTCCATGCAAAATCCCTGAACCTGCCTGATATGATAGGTTTGTATGTGTGGTAAGATCCAACATACAACAACGTTTGTTAGCGTCTATGCTTACCCTATTTATCTTGTCTGATTTTGTTAAACTTGCGGTTCGAGTCATACCCTTCTGGGGTAGTCAATAGTCATGGCCACACTCTTAAAGTGCTGGAAGTCAGGAAACTTTTCGATATACATATATATAGTTATACACTTTCGGGCTGAAATTCCATATTTTATTTCGAATAACGCGGTTTGCAAAAGTTAGCATTCTACATTGAAATTGATTGGTGGGCTTGTAGGAAGAAGGTTCAGGGACACGCTCTGCAATCAGTTAGATTTTGTGCCTGTACATAAAGGTAGACTACAAGTATCGTAATCAAGCTACATGTAGGAAACGTTCGAAAGTCTTCAAACAAAATTTAACCGCATTTTCTGTCAAATAGTACATTAACAGTTACGCATCATTGGGTATAAACGAGATACTTTATCACGTTTCTTGGTTGTAGCACCTGTTTTTTGTTTTTCTTTTTTTTTTTGTTTAATAATGGGTCTATCGTTACTAACTCATAGTCATAAATTGACTCGTTGGAAGTCTGTGGAAAAACGTGTACCAAGCGAATATCAGGCACCGTATGGAGTCTACAAACAAGAAAAGAAAAGAAAAAAGAAATTTTCTCGTTAGGTCTAGTACCAAAATGCATGTTCCAAGCTAATCGACTATTATTTCTTAAACATCTTATTTCGTCGTTCTTTCATTTGACTAAAATTTTAAATTTAGCTTAGTAATCATCTTACTTGGAAGGTCATCTTATCATATTCTACTTCGATCGATTATTTACATTTAAGTCCTTGAACATATCAATTTCGATATAGAATACTAATTTGTCCTAAGTATCTGATTTCGGGCCTTTTCATCTTTTAAATCAGTCAACTCTTTGTGAAAAACGCGTGCATAAACAGAAAAGAAAGTTGCCCTCGTTAGACGAGATAAAAAAAGAAAAGAAACATTTCTCTTAACGGTACGTTAAATTTAATTGTACAAAATAGAACACAGTATAATGTAAAGTATAAATTATACGATGCTTGCGCACGGTTTGGTTCGTAAGTAAAAAAGAAAAAAAGCGCACCAGGTAAATGCAATGTAAACTTCTTCGGAGATTGAACGAACATATGAAGACTGGGCACCTTCCCAATGAATAGCATACGCGCTGGCCTACTCTATGCTCGCGAGTCTCTTACAAGTTCATTTCACGATATAAACGTACTTCTAAGATTTGTGTTAACTTCCGTACGTAAGTAGCCGCGGTAGGTATTTTTGTATCTGCTATACTTTTTTTTTGAACTTTACAAACGTAGATTTAAGGTACCGAAAAATCCGTACATTGTTATTACTGATTGATGCGCCGCGAGAGTAACGTAGACACGTGAATTTTATACGGTAAAATGATCATCGTACGGTACGGATATTGGCCCAATCATATCTATCTGTATAGAGACAGCATCGTAATTGCAGTATCATTTTTATACTTTGCTTTGTACGTATCACGTATGAAACATAATTTATTATGTAACTTTCTATCCCCATGATACGTACTCTGGTTGTATTTTACATTATAAAATAACGCGCGTTACGTTTGGTACGCGCATAATCAGGAATAATATGTACTGATACCTTATGACCCCAATTATCTCTTTAAAACAAGACAAAAAACATATTGATTATTAGTCTGAATAATTTTAATCGAAACATAGCAAGAGAGATCTAATGGATAACAATTCGCACGTAGGTATATGAACATAGCAAATATGTACTTCGTTTGACACACGGTCACATTCTCTTTTGCGTTTTCGAAATTCTGATTTCTTGGACTGTCCTTGCAATTCGTGTCTCTATATTTTTTTGAGTTCTCGTGATTATCGAAATTTCACGGGTCGTGATAAAGTAATAACCGATTGCAACGGTTCTCTTGGTCGCGACGTTCACAGTATGTATAAGTCGAAATTCTTTTCAGAAAAAAAAAAAAAAAAAAAAGAAAGAAAGAAAAAAAAGAAGTCTTTTTCTTCTGCCACCTGAGATTAACTTTCCCTGGGACGGTTAGAAGTTCCATAGAGTATTTAAATATAGATTATTTAGGAGGACGAGCAAATGGTAATTTTCAATCGGTACTTTTAGCTGCTTATAAGCATGCGGATGGTAAGAAAATAGATGGTCGCAGAGTGTTGGTCGACGTGGAACGTGCTAGGACGGTGAAAGGCTGGCTTCCGCGAAGGCTCGGTGGTGGACTCGGTGGGACCCGAAGGGGTGGGCCTGATGTGAACATTAAACACTCTGGTCGGGAGGATAATGAAAGAGAACGAGAACGGTATCGTTTAGAACGGGAGAGGGAGAATTCTGGACGCCTTGATAGAGACAGGTAAGCTTTGAATAATGTACACTTGTTTATACGTCTGAACTTGTTATCTGTTCTACAAGATTGTGGTCTGACTTTAATCCTTTGTTTATGTTTTATACAGAGATCGCGATCGTTTGGATCGAGAGCGCAGAAGGTCGTCGCGTGATCGTAAGAGAAGGACTAGAAGTAGATCACGCGATCGCAAGCGTAGACGTAGTCGCGATCGATTACCTGATCCGGACATTGAAGAGATTCAAAGAGAGGAACGTCCACGCGAAAGAAGGGACCGTGAACGTGATCGCGATCGAGACCGAGATCGTAAGAGGAGACGTTCCAGGAGTAACGATCGCGATCGTGACAGGGATCGCAAAAGGGATAAGCGCGATCGCGATCGTGAACGTAGAGACAGGAAAGATCGGGGCGATCGTCAAGAGGAAGATACGAAAGAGATTCGAATTAAGGAAGAACCTTTGGATGGTATATTTTTCTATATTTTCATTATTTTTCCCTTTAATTCGTATAGATTCCTTTAGAAATACTAATTTTTCCAATCAAATTTTTTCAGATTACCCTGATTATAGTAACACTTTCTCGACGTCTGGATCATACTTTACCGCTGTAAAATACGAAGAAGATAATGACCAAGAAGTGGAAGAGAAATACAGAATTCCAGAAGGTCGTCCAGATCCCCCTCCCTATAATAATTAT